TTACTAAAAGGGTTTACAAGATGCCTAATTTCAATAAAGTGAACTCTGTGCATGCCAATGAAAGATTACAGAAAGAATTAAAAAACATAAAAATATCAACAACATACTCAAAAGCTTAATTGTTAGTTTGAAGTGGCAGTGTAACTTACTTGTTCACATCAGGATGGTAGTTCCTGGCAAGCTTTCGATATGCTGAACAAGAAAGAAAAAACAATTAAAACTTGACACAAATTCAGACATCTTTCATCAGGCAAGAATTTTTAATTATTATGTAGAACTGAGTAGAATGAAATCTAAAAAACAAATTGCCAAAAAAACACAAAAAGCAATATAAATTTTGATTGCTTCAAGAAGTCATTAAAATATGCAAATGAACTAATTAGAACATACATGTGGAATCAAAGAGATACATAACTTCTCCTTACCAACGTTAACAAATACAGGTATAATATTCTATCGCCAAGAGAGAGAGAGAGATTGAGACACCCCATAGCTTAGACAAGATATCTAATTTTTCTAGTGAAGCAATCGATGGCCGAAGTAAATCCTTACTACTCAATTATAATCACATAAGTAATCAAAGATAGTCGAGTAATAAAAAGAATCCGCATAAAGTGCAAAGAAAAACTAATACAGAGTTAGACTATGCCGACTATTCTTGTGGGACTTCAACTCAGACACTTGCGGTCCTGGTGCCTCAGCCTTTCCCGCTTGAGCTAGGCCTCATTGGAAGAATAGACAACAAGATTAATTGCTTTATGTAAAAAGATTCACAGCCATGCCTCAATTGGCGGAGGCCATCTGGTGGCTGAATAATGATTCAAGTTCTGGAAATCATCATAACCACGGTCCATTTGGAACCAAAATAGAAACGGGAAAGCTAGCTAGAATAATGTATTTCTTCTCATTCTTCTCCCATTTGTTCTCTCTGTCTTTCCCTATTTCTATTTTAATTTGTGTTCTACATCAATATTAGTTCATAGAAAATAAATGCACATTAGCAGAGAAAAGGAGGTAAGGTATCACTGACCACTTTTGATTTCTGATTTGCTGGCATTTTTAGACACACCAAGCACAGTATAGTAATCCTGGGCGTAAAAGGTCATCATATTCAGTGCCATATTTTACTATAACGGGAGACAAGGAAATTTCTTTACATCAAAAATGAATAAAACCCAGAAGACAGTAAAAGACAAATCTCACTCTGTCAGCTCTAACAACCAAACAAGTTCTTCGTTTTTGACGTAAGTTATTGTATGATCCCGATCTGAAAAGTGCACTCGAGGATTCTTGAGAAAAAAACGTTGAACTAGGTGATGACAATGACCTGATTCCGCTGGAGAAACTGCATGCGAGAAATCAATAATCATAGATAGAATGGAATCATGGAAGGCCACGATAATAGAATCCGGAGGTAAATTTTGTTGCACCAAATTAAAAAATGAGAAGAAATATAGTCCGTAATAGAATGGGAAAAGATAGAATATAAAATCCCAAGTCCAGCAAAAGAAAATAAGACCCAATAAAAGCAAAAATTGAATACTAATTGCACAATCAGCTATTAAGAAAAATAAAATCACAGAATTCTTTTCATATATATAACATCGGCAAAATAAAGAAACTTCCCTAAGACCTCACAAGAAAATGAAAGAACAGGGTGGGCACAAGGTGGTTCGGTGTGGGTTTTTTAAAGAACCGGATTGGACCGTACAAGAATTTTGTGCATGAACTGTCAGGTTCCATGGTAGAACTGAAACCGATCTAACCTAATCGGGTCCAAACCGACTGGTTAGGTCCAGTTCTAAAATAACAATAACAAAAATTCAAAATAAAACTGATTTTTTGTCGTCCATAAATTCCATCAAGCATTAATACTCAACATCTGATTGAATAAGAAAACATAGTCATTTTTTAAATTCCTTTCTAGTAAACAACTACAATGAAATCTGGTGCATCTATTGTCAAAATTTTGGCTCCTATTACACGGGAAAGACTTATAATGTTCACTAATAATTATATCCCATCTCATACACAAGATAACTGATGTCATAAATAGTCGGTATTTTGGGTCACTTTAATACCATCAACTAATCAAAAGCACCTTGCTCATTATTCTTTCCTGGTTCTGGATTTGCCTAAATAACTTGTTGCTTTTTCGTCTGATTGGGGCAATATATTTTAAAAATGAGATTGGGTATTTCGGTTCTAGTTATTAAAACCGAAAACTGGACGGGAACCAAGTAAAATTCTTGGTTTTAAGAACCAAAACTGACCAGAATTTAATTAGAATCGAATCGAACCAGCCAATTTGTTCTGGTCCCAGTTCGACTCTGGTGGCTCTAATTAAAAATGTCCATAAGAACCATTTGAACCTACTTATCACAGTTTTTCGCAGATCGTCGACCTTGTTCCATATAAAGGCTCTAGAAACCCAAAAATGTGGATTTTTCTATCATATGTGCATATTAAAAATGAGGCTCACTTAGTTGACATTCTACTAAAGAGCTACTAATCAATATCAATGATGGTGGCAGTTGCCATTAATGCATTTTCATTAATTTACAACTTATGGGGAGATCTAACTGAAACCACTTAATTAAAATATCGAAAAGAGCTTGGTGCTTAGTTGCTCCATGAGTAGCCATCTAGCCGATTTGTTTTGTTTGCCTAGTATATAGTAGTGTCAACAAAGGCGGATTCAGTGCTGGGCTGGCCTGGGCTATAGCCCAATTCCCTTTTTTCCTAAATAAAAAAATTATAATGTAAAATATAAAAAAATTTGTGGAATATTTTTTTTTTTTATTTTTACGTACCAGCACAGCAGAAAATATTTTTTTAGTGCAGCCCTAGCTCCTCCCCTAAACTTGTCAAGTCGAAAAATGCATATAAAAGATACTTTTATCGTGACAATCACAAATAATATAAAGGAAAAATTACACATCCTATATTTTAACCAAAATGAGAATCTTTTTTGGACATCTAAGTTCTACTTAAAAGTACATTTTTCCAAAGAAGATCTAAGCACTTCAAAAGTCATTCTTCTATTATATTTCAAAATATATGAAAGGTATTCCTGCATTTGATGATCTTAATCTATACAAACACAGAGGGGTTTCATCTAGACTAGATGAATGAAACAGCTCTCAATGGACTTCGAGTTAAAAGTCTCTCAAAACCGCATGCACATTAGAAGAAAAAACATTCAGTTAGTTGAGTACTAAAAGACCATGCATATACACTATTGCACACTCTGAAAAATAGATGGAATGTGGAGCAGCAACAATGTCAATGACAGGACGCCTAAAGCATCCTCAATGTCAGGTACCATACTATTATGTCAAACACCACAACAACATTGCATCCTTTTAAAATTTTGATATTTTGATTACTAGAGCCCCAATCCGTCTGTCCCTTTACAAAAAGGTAATGGACTCGAGGAGAAACCATTGCCTCCTTTCAAAAAAATTTACTTTGCTTGCTATAGCTCCAATCAGTCTTTGTCCCTCTACAAAAAGTTGGACTCAAGGAGCCGCCTCAAGAAATGCATCCATTGATGGCAGCAGTAGCAAGGATAAGCAACCAAAGACATCATCTTCCCAAGGTGAAAGGTCAATATAATTGAAGCTATTATTAACACAACCATCATTGTAGCAACAGCTACAAGCCTACAACAAGCATTTCTGCTGTCTTTTAGCAAAGTTCAGCACATCTCATTCTAATCTTCGGCTACCTTGCATCAGGCAATTAACCATCAGGTACATGATATTGTGGCACTGAGTTTTTGTCTTCTTTGGATGGCTTGCAATTATCATGTAACCATAAGTAATCAATCACCCTATTACAGCAAGTGAAAATCTGTCGTTGGTGGTAACATACATTTCATAACGAAACTGCCAAAGTCCAATTATTTTATATATTTCTGGATAAAAATGAGGTGGGAAAACTACCGATTCAAATTGAACCATGCGTCATTCTATCAAAAATTATGTTCTTCCCATGACATTATAACCGGTTCCACCTCAACATCTTCAAGCAAATCCCAAATTCAATAAGGTGGAGCAGATAGCTATTACACCAATCTGAGAAAAGCTTATTTCTCATCTATGCTTCTAAATACTTCAATTCAGAATCCCATCAACACGATAGACAACATGAACAACATATTAGCAGCGCTTGCTTCCAACTTGAGTGTCAATGCTCCGATCCCCAGACTGTCATTCCAAGATTTGTGCCACAAGAGCATCTTGTAAACCTCCCAAGTTTAGATATGGAGAAACATGAATTACAAGATCTTAATTGGTTTTATAAAGAACTTCTGTGGAGTTTCATATTGTCTAGTATATGCCTAATTTGAGTTTGACTATGTTTCAAGCACATAATCCAAAAGGGAAAAATATCGTTGAGATAGCATTACGAGTATGTAGTTATATTGGCAATACTAACAATGATATTGTCCTGTGTTTTTCATTTTCGACAAAGAATGTGAACAATGAATTTACAAATGTGTGATACGGAACCTTGACAGACAATTAATCATCACAATCGAGAAAATAAAAGAAATTTCCCTTTAATTCATCTCAGACAAAGTCCTACATTTTTATGGGTGAGTGTAATTCACTTCCCCATACATGTAACATACATTTGTAATGGTTAGAGAGCTCCTTGACCAGCATACAATTTTCACAGAACTGATTAAGCAAGCAAGCAAAATTACAAAAGATAAAATCATAAACTGGCTATGTGGATTAAAAATGAGGTGTTAGAGTTTATTAATTAAGAAAATTAAAATGGTTTACCCATAAATTTACATTAAAAAATTTTAGAAGATAATTTATAAACATGCTTACCAAAGGGACGATGTTGAAAATTTATTTATTATGGAGGATCTTGACATAAATTGAGGCTGAACTCCCCATGTACTTCCACAAGGTATTATTGCCATTCAATTCACTGCACATGTAAGAAAAAAAGACATTTATTCGTTGAGACATATCTCAAAATGTCAGCCAAGCCCAACAGATGCTACACAGAAACACAAATGCAGCAAGATAACCAAATAAAGAAATAAAAACTTCAAAAAATTTACACACAGAGACAATATTATCATATACCAAGAAGATAGTATCTTGTAAAAAACATTGAAAAGTAACAAAGTAGAATTATAGAACCATATCGAATGAACAAGTTGAACTACTGAAGCTGTAAAAATTCGAACAGCCAATACTTCATAATAATCAATTACACTAGAGTTGTGAAAACAATTTTATCCGCTACATTAAATTTCAGCAATATATGTAGTACTAAAAAATCATCTTCAAAGCATATTATTCCAATTATTTCATTAGTTTCATCTGGTCTAAACTACAGCCTTTATTATTCCCAAGAGCCAGTCTGTCTGCCCATATGTAAATCTGTCTTCAGCTATCCCATAAAAATTCCGAATTTGCAGCACATTCAACTTCCCCAAAACCATATCAATTTCAACAGTAATCAAAATCAAATAAAACAGTCTTCTCGCAAAAAGGACCAAAAATTAATAACTTCATATCGTGAAATTGTAATTGAAATGAAAAATAAATCACTTAAAACCCGTAAAAATGTGATTTTCATTAAAATAACCCTAAAACGAGTCCTCAAATTTGAAGCTTTCTTCAACAAAAAACAAATAAATTCTGAACATACATGCGTATACGTATAGTGAAGGTAAAATGGAAAATGGATACCTGCAGGGTTTGCCAAATTGAGCTTATAGTAGTGCAGCGGAGCGAGGCGGAAGGGAGCACTCAGTGTGGATGCAGTACTTGTTATTTGGGGTGTGGAGAGATGAGGCTCCTGAAGGAAGACAGAGCTTTCCAGAACTTTACATATACGACCCGATAAAATGGATCCTTTGCCC